TCCGACTGAGGGCCCCGCAGGTTCTCCGCCATCCTCGCAAGAACGGCTTTGTGCAGCCGTATTTCTACTGCTTTTAGGGGCAGCCCCGTATTGCCTCCTTCACAGACTCCTTCCAGGGCTGCTGGTCCTGCCCCTTCCTGCCAGTGCTGCCATTTCCTAGAGTGCTTATCAGTTTGGGATATATTAGAGCTGGAGCAAAACTGGCAAGTCTTCTGCTGGTTTCCTATTTTAGCCCAGGTGACAGGTCACTCACGCAGCAGAGAAACATGGGATGAAGCAGGAGGGACTGCCCAATGCTATTTGGATCTGCTCCCCCGCATCACTGACCTCTCCCTGAGGCTATGTCTGAACTCAGGTCTAGGGCTCTTGTGGAAGAGCATTAAACCCATAACCAAAAGTAGCCCATCTGACAGGTCCCTCAGTGGAGGAGAGGCAAGGGTGGGAGGTCACCTGGCACCAGATTAAAGCTAAAAATAACTTTAATTTGGGGCAAGGCTGAAAAAAAGAAATCTATAAGAATCTCCTCAAATGGGATGTCAGCTGAGATTCAACGTTTTTACTGAGGAGTTCGTGAAATGTTCTTATTTTAAGGAAAACAGATTCATACCCATATGCAGAGTTCCTCTCCAACCTTACTGATGCTCCTTGGAGGAACTCCTGTACTATCTTACAGTTCCAGACAGGCCTTGAGCAGATTCTGCAGTCCCAGGGGACCAGTATCTCTGCCCTTGCAGCCAGAAACAACTGGAAGACATAAACATCGCCTTCTAATGCCACTTCTGTGAGACCCTAAGGGAGAAAATGCTGGATCAGATAACTGTTAGATTTACAGGCCCAGAATTTCAAATTGTTTGCTGGCAAAAGAAACTGCCAACTAGCTTGGTCATCACAATGCCAGTGTGTACTTGACAAACGCTTTGATGAAGGCATCTGCAACATTTCTGCAGTTTAACAGTGAAGTTATCCAGTCAAAAATGAAGTAAGAGTAGCACATGTTAACACAATTAGCACACTGTGTTCAAGGTGCTCACAGACCCATCTCCTTCGGATCTGCCTAGAATCTTCTCAGATCTTGAGGCCAGCTGAGACTTTTCTTTCCCCCTTTTTGAAAATAGCAATGAGATTTGTCTCTTTCAGTCATCTGGCCCTCCACACCAGTTCCTCAGGATTTTTCCAAGATAACAAAGGAAGTTCAGCCAGATTGTCAGCTAGTTCTTTCAATAACCCAGGTTGCAAATCATCTGGTCCTGGAGTTCTGAATTCATCCAAAAAAATAAGCATTCCCTAACCTGTGTCTACCCATCTCAAGGGGTGGGAAAACCCAGGTCCAAGTCCATCCTTAGCCATGGACGTTCCCTGGGTGACTTTGGACCAACCTCTCTCTCTCTCTCTCTCTTGTCCAACCTACCACCCAGAACTGCTGTGATGGGAAAAAACAGAAGGAGACAATGTTATATGGACCAACTTAAGTTCCTGATTGAAAGGCAAGATGATGATGATGATGATCTAGTATTTTTAAAAATTGCTGAATGAACCACAGGCAAAACTTCTCCAATTTCTTAAGTTAATTGTCCTAACTGATCTGAGTCTTCTCTTGTCTTTGCCTGGCAGGAATATGCTTTTAAGTGTTGAAAGGAGAAGGAGGAAGATCCTCCTGGGGAAATACAGTCCAAAATGGTACCCTGAATAATTCTAGAATAATCATAAACAGATCCAATTGCAAGCACTTTGAAAATGATGCAGTAATTGCCAGAAATCAGCAGTTTTGTCAAGAGCAAACCTTGCCAGTTTCTTACCTCAGTTTTTTGTTTGGATAATTGCCCTAATATGCAGTATCATGAGGATGCTAACTGACCATGGGAATACCTTGACTTCAGCAAAGCATTTGATAAAATACCCTGTGACATACTGATTGCCAAGATTTATTTATTTATATATCCATTTTGTCACCGCCCATCTCATTAAAAAGCGAGTCTGGGCAGCTGATGGAATGACAATCAAGCAGAAATAGAAATTGACAATCGCAGTGAAAGCATTGCTCCTCCTCCTCAAACAGAAGGGGATATTCAGTGGAGTGACACAAGAATCCGTCCTGAGTTGTCCATTTTTAATCAAGGTTTTTATTCATGGCTTTGATGAAGAGAAGAAGAGAATGCTTATCAAACTGAGTGGGATATCTAATGCTCTGGAAAACAGAAATAAAATTCAAAATGATATTGATAAGTGAGGGGAATGGGTTGAAAATAGCAGCCTGGAATTTAACAAAAACAAATGCAGAATTCTTCATCTAGGAAACAAAAACAAAATCCACCGTGGGGGACAATGGCTTGGTGATGCTACCTGAGAGAGGGATTGGGCCATAAACAGAATATAAGTCAGCAGTGTAAGGGTGGCTGCAAAAAAAGTTAATGTGATTTTAAGATGTGCTAGGATGTCAGCAGAAGTACTGTTTCCAAATCACAAGAAGAAGAAATTCACTTTATTGCATTCACCTCCAACCCCACTTTGAGTCCTGCATTCAGTTCTGGGCACAGCCCTTGGAATTATTCAGAGAAATTGGAACAGGGAAAGGCAAAGAGGACGTTTGGGGAACTAGAAAGCCAAAAAGTGGGAAAGTATCTCAAGTGCCCGGAAAGATTTGATTGCCCTGAACTTCCTGAAATGGGTTGGGCTTCTCCAGAAGGAAACCCTCCCGACAGGCACTTGAGACCCTCTCCCCCTCCTCCCGATGTCAGCGCCTGCCCACTTCTTTCTTTTGCCTAGAAATCCTCTGGAAGGATGTTTAGCCTTGAGAAAAGAGGACCAAGGGTGGGTAGGACAGGAGGCCCCACAGAAGGACAAGTCCCGTTCTTTCAGAGTGCAGCGCGCAGGACGCAGAACGGTGAGAAGCTGGATCCAGACGGAATGCTAGCAAAGTCGTTCAAATGGCTTCATTCCCAGCAACAGTCACCCCTTTCAAGCAGGGGCTAGACGGTCATCTGTCCGAGAGGCTTTAATTTGGATTTCAGACTGGACTCCATGTTCTTAAATGTGCCTTTCCAACCCAAGGGTTCACTAATTCTTGGGCAGCTGAGCAATTCTTGTCAGCTCTGATGAACTAGACTTGGTCCCCTGAGATATGCTAGAATTACCTTCTTGCGGGCAGACAGAAATGTTGCTGAAATGCTCAGCCACAGCCACTTGCACATATATGTTTGGAAGCTAGTAATCTGTGCGGATTTAAAGTACACACCTTCACAAGTGAGGTTTTCACCTGGAGCAAAGAGGGCTCTGCTGAAAATTCTCCCATCATACTTTTTCTCTGCTGAGACTCCATTCTCCACAGCTGATCGTAGGAAAATAATGAAGATAATTCCCTCTGCGTGGGCTTAAAAACCAATATACTTGATCCTCAACACAGATCCTCAGCTGCAGCATTTGTAATTCAAAAACATTTACAAAAAAGAACTGAAAACCCATTTCAAACCTGTAGTTTAATTTTTCAGACTTGGGTCGGTCAATTTATTTCCTCCCTGCCTGAAGCAAGGAATAAAGACTCTAGACAAGTGTTTCTCAGCCTTGGCAACTAGAAGATGGGTGGACTTCAAGTCCCAGAATTCCCCAGCCAGCCTTGCTGGCTGGGGAATTCTGGGAGTTGAAGTCCACACCGCTTCAAGCTGCCAAGGTTGAGAAACACTGCCCTAGAAGTACCTGAAGAGAAACGTAATTAGAAATTCAGCAGAAATGGGTGAGGGCTACCCCCTCTCAACTGCCTTTTGGACAGGCACAGGAAAGTTCATTTCCCGCTACTCAACTTACAGCGGTACATTGCAGGAAAGGTCTTGTCATGGTTGTGGTGGCTGCATTCCCGACTACACTTTATCCCATCCATTCAGCAGAAGACAAAGTAAGGAAATAAGACTGATTGGCAGGGCAAGAGTGATTTAAGCCGCCTTGACTCGACTTACCTTGACTTGCCTTCTTAGCTAAAATGTAAACGAATGGAGTTAGGAATAAATGTGGAGTTAGGCAGAAATTAGCCATCCCCTTCCCAGCTCTGTAGGGCGTCCGAGGACAGAAGAGAGAAGCCAGGCCAGGAATTCCCATGTCCGGCTGCAGCGCCAGAGGCAGCGGAAGCCCCACTGGTGGCCGGGCTCCGCTTCTTTCTCTGCAGGCTTCGTGATCCGAGCTGAACCGCGAGAAGGAACCAGGTTCTGCCAGCCACCCTTCAGATAACCTACCGAGCAGCAATCCATCTTATTTCAAAATGAAATAGGTCTGAGGGTCACCTGATCCCCACTTAGTGCAAAGTGGAAGCCATAAAAGCTTTATTTAATGACCTCTGCCTTTTCCATTAGTTTTTTTCCCCCCTGAGAGTCCATTACTGAACACTGTCATTTAAAAACAGTGACCAGCTTCTCTAAGATGTAAATCACATCTACGGAAAACTTGAGTGTGAACCCAAAAAGCCCCACAGCCACTAAAATGTCTTGATTGGTTGTGCACTTGGATGAAACTTGGATGAACCCAAGAAACATTCTATTTGAAAGAGCAAAATCCTTCCAAATTGCAGTTGCTGACATCTGACTCATTGATTATCAGAAACAGGACCCAACTGTGCATGGCTACTGTTTACAGAATAAAAATTTCCATTTTAAATCATTTAATCCTCACCAAAAGAACAATGCAATAATTTGCTGCTAGAATGCTGAAAATATGACTTCTCACACATACAAGAAAAGTTTTTACTTTAAAATAAGAAATGTAGCTAAAAGTCTATATAGAGGTCATGTGTTCATACATGACATAAACATTGCTATTTTCACTATACGTACTGAAAATAGAAATACCTGGTTTAATACACAGGTGACACTGCTGAGCCATCAGTTAATTAATAGTAAAACAAGAATCAGCTAACAGGGGTGTTTTTAGAACAGCTACCAGACTTTAAAAAAAAAAAAAAATACTAAGCCACAGCACTATTTATCCTCCCCACCAAATTACAGCAGGAATTTGTTTTCTTACAAATCAGTTTCCCTGCTGAAATCCAGACAAAGTGCTTAGAGGGATTCTCTAAGATCTACACTACTTTTGGCTTTGATCTTGGCCTTCCCCACAGACCTGGTCCCGCTGGGGATCCCATCAACACGTTCCAAGCACACCACTGACTGGCTGGAGTTTTTACTGGGCTGCCTCTTCACGCCTCCAGCCGAGCTGCCCTGAATGCTACCAGAGTCATGCTGGAGAAGGGCTGGTTCTCATGGTCAGTCTCGCTGTGGCAGAGAAGGAGTTGAACTTGGGCACAATGACGGGGACAGTCAGGGCAACGGTGAGCACTCCAGCAATGGCCCACAAGCAGCCCGCAATCGTTCCACCTACTGTGATAGGCCTCATAACACCATGCCCCACTGTCGTCATGGTGACTCCAGCCCACCAGAAGGCATCAGGGGTGCTGGAGAAATAGGATTCAGGATCATCAGCCTCTGCAAAATACACCATGCTAGAGAAGAGAATCACACCAATGAAAAGGAAGAAGTTGAGGAGACCCAGCTCCCTCATGCTAGCTTTCAATGTCTGCCCCAAGATTTGCAGCCCTTGGAGTGCCTGGACAGCTTGAAGGTCCTGAAGACCCTGACCAGGCAGATGACCCACAGGATGGCCAAGGAGATGGCTTGCTGCTGGCCTCCACTGCTTCCAGGTTGCTCGCCCTTCTGCTGCTCCTGACCAGCTGGGTGCCCAGAGGGAGGAAGTCAGGGGTACTGGTGACCACCTTGATGAAGTTCATGAAGTCCTTGGAGAACTTGGGTTGCTGGGGCAGGCGAAGAAGCGCACCAGGAGCTCAGAGGTGAACCAGATGACACAAGTGGTCTCAGTGACAACGAAGGGGTCCGCCAGAGTCCCGAGGGGGCTGCGCCTGAGCGGCGGGGCCCCGGAGCTCGGCCGGCCGGTCCCGGAACTCCGGCACAGTCTCCAGGCAGAAGGTGACATGGAGATGAGGGTGAGCAGCACCGAGACGACGGCGACGCCGCGGGCC